CCCCCCCCCCCCGCTCCCAATTCATTCAGTACGACGGCCGTTCTCATTCGGAAAGATTCGTCCCCAGGTTTTCCCTCTGATTGTTCTCTTTCCCCGCCAAATTTATATCCCGTTCTAGGAATCTATGAATAGCTCCTCTCCTCATAACTACGCTTGCTTCCTCATTTTTCGTCTTTCGATCCACTACTGTATATCTTAAGATGACTTGCTAACTATACGCCCGCCCACCCCCATTAAAAAAAAACCCACCCTTTTTAAGGTTTAAGTCTTAAAGATACGGAATTGCACGTTGCCTCACATGCCCTCCCCATCCCTATTTTTGGCTTCCTGTATGATCTTGCCTGCCGCCGCCTCCTTTGAACTGGACTTGAATGCCTAAAGCTGCCTCCGACTTGATAACTAGGACAAGGAAAAGAAAAGTTGCCACCTCAGACCAGAACCTTTCCCTCTTTTTTGCTTCTCATCCGCCCCCGCCCGCCGGCCAACAGGAGCAAAAGGGAAAGAGGGCGTGTGTATGCGCGCGTGCGTGTGCGGAGGAGGGGAAATGTTGGTGTCTTCTTCTCCCTGGAAACGGTGGAGGAACTGAGGCGAAAGTGAAGCAGCAGGAGAGAAAGTTTCCTTGCTGAAACCAGGGCTGAGTACCGAGTGATGTTTTTAGAGCTCAAGGAGCATCGGCGGAGAGCTGTGGTGGTGCCGCATTGTGTTTGCTGAGGCTCTTCCCGGCTGGTGGGGGCTCGGCGTCCTACGAGGAGGAGGGAGCAGCAGTAGCGAAACAGCTTCTATCGCCCACCTTCACTAGTGCATGCTTTAGACAAGAGAGGTGCTCTCTTTTTCGCTCTTTTTCTGGCCTCAGTGCAATGTGAAGCTTGCCCACACAACCCTGATTTGCCAAGGATTGGAGCGTCAACCTAGTACATGCATCCGATAATCATCTTCTCCTACAAAATGGATTTTAGCCAAAACAATCTATTTGGTTATATAGAAGATCTGCAGGAACTTACTATCATTGAAAGGCCGGTGCGCAGGAGCTTAAAGGTATTATATATGTCGAATGGATCTATCATTTTTTAGAAAAAATAGATAAATAAAATCAAATCGCAGTTATTTCAGACTGGAATCTCTTAAGCAATGTGATGGCATCTTTTCTGCAGGCTTAGCATATTTTAAATCGGAAAGATGGTTTGCATAGGTAAGGCAATGAATTTCAGTAGTGGCATAATGCTTTCAGAAATGGGATTTGAGATGTGGGGGAGAGAAATCCTAGATAGCAACTGCTTTGATTTCAGCAACTTTTATGGTTTTATAATTTTGATTTTTTAAATACAGTTACTGATTTAAAATGTTAATTGCCTAATTTTTTGAATGCTATCAGATTGTCAGAATTAAAGCCAAAAGGCCTTAAAACCATATCTGAAACAGGTCATATACTTCCAGGAGACTGTTCCAGAGAAAGTGACTTAAAAATTACAGGCTGTCATTCTGGTTCAAAAACTGAAAAGGAGGACAAGTGGTAGCGCATATTTATCTTTGGTTCTTTTCTTGCCATCTGTAGTTTATCAAATAGTAGAGCAAACAAAGGCCCTTATTTAAGGCCTTGGAGAGCAGTTGCCAATTTAAATAGATAGCACTGGACAAAACAGATCAGTAGTCTGACTCATAGAAGTGAAATACATGATAATTTAAAGCTAGCACACTTGAGTTCATTTTCTATTGGTATTTCTTTTAATTACATTTATTTTCATTTAATTTCTTATATTTCAGGCAGAATTCATACTTACTCTGGAATAAGTAAAACTGGTCCTGGTGATGAATAATACAATCCTATGCATGCCTACTCAGAAGTAAGCCCCTTTGAATTCATCGGGACTTACTTGCAGGTAAGTGTGTGTGGGATTGTAGTATATATATGCTTATGGCATTGAATGTTCACATTTGAAGGTGGAGGTAGTTGTTAACAAATTAAAGTATGGAGCTGAGATGTCAATAATGTTAATTTCTGTATCATGTCTGACAGACACCAGAAGAAATAGAGAGACTGACAGTTGATGAAGAACTCAATGATATTGAAAGGGCTGTTTATCTACTCAGGTATAGTTTAGATAATATCATTTTAGTACCTTTTATTTAAATGTTTCCTTCTCCACACTCTCCTTAGTGGTTTTATTTTTTGAGTGCTGAGTTGTAATGACTCTATAAAAGGAAGATTAAAATAATGTGTGACAGTAAGACTCCATTAAACCTACATGGCAATATATTCTTATACAAGAATGGTTGCTAGGCCATTTTTTTAGCCTTCTACTTTAACCCTGCCCTCTTGTTTTGAGACTTACAAAACTGAATGATGATATTAACAAGGCTAATTATTGATTCACTTCATATTAATAGAATAGTTTTTACTATGATTATGCAGTAACTGAGTTTTTTATCTCCTTCAGACTATACAGTAAAGAAAACTTTTAAAGGATATATTTCTAAGATGAGAAATATTTAAATAGAGAAAATATTGGCATTTAATCATAGTTTAGTTTTTTATCTGTATTTCCTTATCATTTGCTTTTAAAATGCATACTTGAGCACCATTTAATTGTCTTGAACACTATTTGCCAGAAGTCAGATTTCTTTTGACTTTTGTAAAGATGACATTTTCGGAGGAGGTGCAATGCTGAAGGATTTTGATTTAGGCTGGCATTTTTATACAGTGTTCACTGACAGAACTGCCAGCTGTAAGCTTTCTTTCAGTTTGATCAGTTATATTTAGTGCTCTTGAGTGCCATGTTTATCTCATTCTTGGAAATGAAGCTTTTTTACTCTGCTTATATTATCTCTTAAGCTACCACTTTTTTTCAATCTTTTATATATTTTGTAACTGTCCGATGTAATAAAATACCCTTCATCTTTCATTGGCTCTTTTAAATATCTTATCATAATCAAAATATTATTGTAAATACTCGTTTGGATTCATCATGACCTTTTTCATTGTTAATATATACTATTTGTTCACATGTTGAATAATTACAAGGAATTTATTCAGGTGGGTAGAATGGGTTGATGGACTCCAGCCCATCATTATCATCTACTCTAAACCTAGACAGACATCCTAGCAAATTATTATCCATTTAGCAAACTGATATTTTGTGGATCTATTTAAAAAAACAGTTATAAATAATGAAACTTACTACATTTTCTTCATTGCAGCAATTTTCAGTGTATTTTTTTTTCTTTTCAAAGTTTGAGCCATTTCTCATAGATACATTTCCAAGCAGAGGTGAATTGTAAAGTCTTTCTGACCCTACAGAATCCATTTCCAATGTCTTCATTAAGTGGGCATAGATTGGAATAATGTCTGCTTGCTAGTCAGAGTAATAGAGGCCATACTCATAGTCATTGGTGACTCATTTGATAACACCTACCCTTTTCTTAGTATGTGGTTGCTGTAAAGATGCAAGGGAGGTTTGTGCTACTTTATTTCTCATAAGAATAAATTAGGTAGCTGGCAAGGGAGGATAATATAGTTTCACTGAATGCATGTAAACCTTAGATGCTTTTTAAATTTCAAGAATCTCATGATACAATGTAATAGCTACTGATGTATCTAAAGATGACTAGGATTGATCTTTATGGTCTTGTGTTTTTAGGGTGAGGGCTTTATATGCTTTTTGATTCATTGATTTTTTAAAAACTTTATATATAAGTATGTATTCTTTGAACAAATTGCACTCTTGTATATGAGTGAAAAGCAGGTTCATTCAGCCCTTGCTAAAAATACATAAAATTGATGTTCAATATATTATCTTCTTGAGACAAATGGTAGAATATATTATAGTGCTCAGCAAGATGTCACCTAAAAATTCTCATATTATCACCATGGGAGTACAAGCTTTCCTTTTTTACGTTTAGGAAATAAGTTTATTCTTCTGTGTATTACCCTTTTCTTGGAAGTGGTCCTGGTCTCAGATCCTCTTTGTGTTTCCTATACATTCCTGGGCTTGGAGAGTATCTTGCAGACTAGATCATTTAATAACTTCAGATGCAAAGTAGAAATAATTAAATTAAGTGAAGGCAATTGAAATCTAGCTGTGTGTTTAATTTTAAAACATATGGACATGATAGCATGACACCAGCCTAAGTTTGCATACATATTGTCCTTTGTCATAGATCACATATATTAAAAGGCCCAAATAACCTTCTATTTGAGGTTACTCTTTAGCATGGGGTCACACATTGAAGAACACTTTTGAACACATTCAAAAAAGTCTATGGGAGGGTCAAGGCACACTGTAAAATGTATGTGGGAGGGACAAGGCATACTACAGTACATTTTTGGAGTGCAAACCAATCCAAAGCAATGAGCATGAAACTGAGCAAACTCATGGAGGCAGCGAAGGACAGGAAGGCCTGGCGCAATGTGGTTCATGGGGTCACACATTGAAGAACACTTTTGAACACATTCAAAAAAGTCTATGGGAGGGTCAAGGCACACTGTAAAATGTATGTGGGAGGGACAAGGCATACTACAGTACATTTTTGGAGTGCAAACCAATCCAAAGCAATGAGCATGAAACTGAGCAAACTCATGGAGGCAGCGAAGGACAGGAAGGCCTGGCGCGATATGGTTCATGGGGTCAATATTGGTGTTATTTTGTTACAAATAGTCTTCCATTAACTATCAAATTTCTGGCTGTATATCACCAGCATGTTCCTGGTTTGACTGGAGCCTATTCTTTGCTGTAATACCATCTCCTCTGGCTGTTTTTAAATTATGGATTGGTTTGCTTTGTTGTTGTTCAGTTGTTAAGTCATGACTCTTTGTGACCCCATGAACCTGTCCTTTACTGCCTCCATGAGTTTGCTCAGTTTCATGCTCATTGCTTCGGATTGGTTTGCACTCCAAAAATGTACTGTAGTGTGCCTTGTCCCTCCCACATACATTTTACAGTGTGCCTTGACCCTCCCATAGACTTTTTTGAATGAATTAACCTCTAATCATGTAATAGTGCGCACAAATAAATTTTGCTTTTTGTGACAATACATTACATGAATGAGGCCTACTTGAATATATATATGTATAGGGTACAATGTAAGATATGTAAATCTAAGCCTTGCTGCCATGTTTCAAGTATAAGAGTACTCCTGAATGGAATGTGAACTGACCCAAAGTAAAGAACTTGCTTCTGTATGTATTTGCTTCATAGGCAGCCTTATCTGAAAATCTGATCTTTAAATTTTGCTAATACAGTGGAACCTCGGTTTACGAACTTAATTCATTCCGTGACTCTGGTCGCACCCCGAATTGGTCACAACCCGAAGCAAATTTTCC